GTCAGTTTCAGTGAACATCTACAAGACTCAAGCGCATGTCTCTTCTTTTCTTCTTCAAGTTTATATTAACCAGCCGCCTTGGGATATCTTGTCATCAAAGATATCTTCTTGTAGTATTAGCAATGAGCATCTTATTTGATTCAGCCTGTGAGCTGCGCGACGCTGATAAGGATTTGATAACATTGTCAGCTTAATAGATAACGACATTTCAACGTATACAAAAAAAAAACCAACATAAACACAAAAAGAAATAATTAATTTTACAGAGAATGCATAACAGGAAATTCTGAGTTATCTGTCAGTGATGAGAAAACTAATGTAGTCTCTGTAAAATAAAATAAAAAAGTGAGTAATATGAAAGTTTTTTTTTGTTCTGATATATGAAAAGTACAGCTGTATAGATAATCATTAGAGAACAGTCTTTTGAAGGTTTTTGTGCAATTTAATATCTGAATACAGATAGTCCACTATTGAAGGAAGAGAGGTACCATAATGAGTTGGTCATCTGAAGAAACTTACATTTAACTGATCCTCAACGCTAGCCAAGTGGTAATGATTGTTGTAATGGTAATGTTGGCCGTTTCCTTATTAGGAAACTTTCATCATTACTTGACCTAGCAGGCAGTAATACTTGTCGTTTGGAATTTATGTAAACAATCCCGTAAAAATTTTCTGGAAAACTCCTTTATCAAGTCCAGTAACTGTTATCGTTCTTTCCATTATTGATGAAGGCATCCATTCTAACATTTTATCAGTAGTGGTTTGGAACATCAGCGCTTCGTTATGTCATTAGTCTCTCTTCGGGTTAGAATGTGCTATCAATTCCCATTATTGCTGATGCTTTTTTTTCTTATTTGTACCGTTCTTTGTTTTTACACACAATTTTGAATTATCATCACGAGAATACGATAGATGAAAGTCATAAGCTCCACATCTGAAGATTTCATTAACTAAATGAAAATAGGTGCAGTGTTAGAGGTATTTCAACGTAAAACAACAAAACAACAACAACAATAATAATAATAATAATAATAATAATAATAATAATAATAATAACAATAATTCATATTGTAATTGGTGCTCCTGAAAGACCATTTGGAAACGGGAAAGATCGTTTAGAAAACACTGGAATAGAGACCAACATCGCAGACCTCAAGTAAACTGCCATCATTTATTCTGCGAGAATTCTGTGAAAAGGTCTTTTTTCGTTGTTGTGATGAGACTACCTGACAGAGATCCTTTAAGAAGAAAATTCCCAGAGAATACTTCAATGTAAAACTCCAACAACAACAACAATAATAATGATAACAATAATAATATAAAACTCGACATGATAGAGTGAGCCTATATCTACACTTTGAAATATGCAATTTTTACAGGAACGTAACTGGAAGGAACTCGACATGAAGAACAGTCAGATACAGTTAAATAGTTAAGACCTGTAAAAATTTTATGGGATTTTACAATAAACACATACAGAAAAATCAAAGCTAATTGCCCATACACCTTGATCAAAGACTACAAAAACAGAACGTGCTTTCTTATTGACATGGCAGTCGCTGCAGTTTCTGTAGCACCAATCAAAGAGATTCAACGAAGAATTCTCCTAACTATAACCTACAAGATTCACTAATGCGAAGCCATATTTAACGAGAAAACTGAGAAAGCGGCTCTATACATCTGATAGTTAAACTTTTTCAGAATGAGATTCGCACCATGTATGTGATTCATATGAAAGTTTCGTTTGACGATACAATAGAAAAACATGACTATTTAGGTTTATATTTTTATTTTCTAACAATTCACAGCGTTGTATGAAACTACCACAAGTCCACCCTATTTAACTGTTTCCTGTTCATGTTAAGGAAAAATTCGGCTATTAAATTAATTTCTCTGAAATTTATAATGTGTATAAATTTAAAGTTTTTTTTTTTTCCTGGAATATACGTTTCGAAAGTACACAAAGTTTTATAGCTGTTTATAATATTAATTTTCTACCAATAATTTTTTTTATGTGGAAACTCAACACCCTGATTATGTCATTATTTACTCTCAGGTTTAAATTCGCTATCCATTTTAGTTCTTGCTGGTGTGGAACTTTGCCAAATGATGAGTATTCTTTTTTATATTAAATTACTTGTTTGCGAATGTGTAGCGCCAGTCTATGTGATCTGATAAAGAACAGTCTCTTTTAGAAAGATATTTATTATAATAATACTAAGATCTAAATATTACTGTTATCATTATCATTTGTGTATGTTATGTTTGCTGTTTTGTATCTTGTAGAACCAGGTCCAAACTATGGTCCTTAAGCCCTACAGGAGAAGGGTCATTTAAGTGATAGCAGTTTTCTTAGCATATGGGATGTTCCTAGTAGGGCTATCTTCTGGGCAACCTGTATGTTGATGTTACCTGGGACACTGTTAGTAAAAATAACCTTTCCTTTTTCTCCCGAGGCCCAGATCTGCAATTAATGTTCGTACAGTTTCAGTCTTCAATCGCCACATCCCGTTAATCTCGATCAACAGGCCCTTGTATTTGTACAATTTCTCAATAATTTTTCTGGATCTTTTTCTCTTATATATATTCTTAATATTATTATGACTGTTATTATTATCATTTGTGTATGGTATGTTTCCTGCTTTGTATACGTAAAGCCAAGTTCAAACTATGAACCATAGACCCTATAGAAGAATTGTCATTTAATTGATAGCACTTTTCTTAGTATATGGGATGTTCCTAAGAGGGCGATCTTCTTCATGTTGATGTTACCTGAGAAACTTTTAATAAAATTTTCCATTCCATTTCTCACGAGGCCCAGTGCTCCGATTATTATTGGTACAGTCTCAGTCCGCCTTCACAAGATCATGTTAATCTTGATCTCCAGATCCTTCTACTTGGGCAATTTCTGGATAATTTTCATGGAATTGTTTCTCTCATATGGCATTGCTACGACAATAAGCATCCTCCTACTAAATATTTTGTCTTTTATGACGATATCACGTCTTCTGGCATTTATTTCCTTGTCAGTTTGAATTGGCATGTCCCAGAGGATAGTTACATCGATTTTCTGTTGCTCATACCATCTCTCAGTGGATTTGATTTTGTGCTTTTTGCATATCTTCACATATATAGATGCCTTGTTTATGTCTCTGGATATACATTATTTACATTATTCGGACTACTGTCCTCATCTTTGTCGCCATATTTATACGCTCCGGCCTTCTTCAGGTGATTGGAATTTCGAACCAAACCCTTTATTTCGCTCACTGGGGTAGACTGTTCTAGTTCTATGTGCCATGTTTCATGGATGTCAGTTATCAGTTATCTCCTGCTTATTTCCCTCTGAAAGTTTTCCACTGCCTTAACTGGGTATTGAACTCACACTCTTTGGGTCCTGTCACTGGATCTAACCAACGCCTTTATCCACTGTGCCATGTGCGTATGAATTCCAACCACCTGAAGACAACGTACAACGGCCGGAAAATTGTGATATATATGGCGACATAGATGAGGACTGTAGTCCCAATTATGTAAATAATGTACATAATACTTCATCTCAGAAATATAGTCAGTCTCTGGATATATTCATTTTTTTGCTAATTCCGGATATCCGGAGATAATATGGTCGACAGTTTCATCATAGTTTCCGTAAATCTGGCATTTCAGGTTAGTTCCTCCTTGATTATGTGACAGTGATAGGATCTGTGAGGCGTTGATCCTGAGCTGCAATAATTAGGCCTTCTGTCTCAGCTTTCAAGCCGGTGATCCTCAGTCACTGATGTGTTTTCTGTTGGTTCACATCTGCTTCTTTCGTTCTTTTTATGTAGTTGCCATGCAACGCCATGTCCGTCCAACTTTTTGTAATTTAATTTGGTCAAATTGTTTTACTTTCTGTTTTAATCGTTTTGCTTTCATGGTATTATCTTCGTTTTTTCTTGGTAGGATTCCCCGTATATTAAGTTGTTTCTTGAAGACTGCAGCTTCTTTGTTGATGGAGTGGATTTGGGGTTTTACTATTTGTTGGAGAGGGTCATTGGTTTTTGTGAGGTAGGCTTCCAATCTGATTGTAGTAGTTTTAAGAGTTTGTTCAAGTTGGATTCGAACTCAGCCTCCTAATGCTCTTGGTACATCCTATCAATATTTGATTTCGGTTGGTGCATCCTCATTTAGGTAATCATCTTTCCGATTTTGGCGTCCAATCTTTTTAGGTGATTCAACTTCAATTTAATAATGTTGAAGCTTTATGTTACTCCGGTTATAAATAAGATGTTGATAGACTTCATTTTATTGGCTCCATTAGTTTCGCTTTCTAGAGTCAATCGCATAAATGACATCATCATATTTTCTACTGAGCAATTAAAAAAATACACATTTGTAAGGTGTGGGTTGTACTCGTGTCAACGACATTTTTGTATTTCTTTAAAGCATGGGTTAACAGGTATCCCTTTAATGAATCTATTGGAAATTTTTCCTATCAATTCGAGGGCTCCAACTACAAAAGGGATGTTCACATATGCAACATATTTGACATTTCGATTACAAGGTGTTAATAATAATAAATAATAATAATAAGAAGAAGAAGTAGAAGAAGAAAAACGACAACAACAAAAAATATACTAAACGCACACTACCGTAACATTATTTTCGTATCTTTTTCTTTATAATTGAAGGCTGTATTCCGTTTCATTCCTTAATACTTACTTATTCGTATGTACCATCTTCGTGTAGTTCCTTATTATTATTATTATTATTATTATTATTATTAATTAATAATAATAATAAGAAGAAGAAGAAGAAGAAGAAGAAGAAGAAAAAAACAAATAATAATTTAACATAACATACATTAGCGACTGTTTAAACAATCATCATTTTAGTGGAATATTTTGAAAGGTATTTTTTTTCTTTTAAATCCAATCTGTTTAAAGGTGCTTACGTCGATTCTCACCGCAGTGAATAGGTGGAACCAAAATGCTGTCTTTCTTAACAACGCACTTTTCTCATATCAGAGACGGGTGCTTTGGAGCATAAAATTCGCACATGCCCTGGAAATATAAATACCCAAATACGATGGCATATTTTACATCAAGCGTACAACATAAATTAGAAGAAGTCTGAGTTCGCTCTGTTTTGATACACCTGGGAATGTCTATTTTATGATTCAATATTAAATAGTCTAACACGATGGACAAATTGACAGACAGACAAATAGATAGATAGATAGATAGATAGATAGATAGATAGATAGATAGATAGATATTGACAGACTGAGACAGATATAAAGAGACTGTGTTAGATAGATAGATAGATAGATAGATAGATAGATAGATAGATAGATAGATAGATATTGACCGACTGAGATAGATATAAAGAGACTGTGTTAGATAGATAGATAGATAGATAGATAGATAGATAGATAGATAGATATTGACCGACTGAGATAGATATAAAGTGACTGTGTTAGATAGATAGATAGATAGATAGATAGATAGATAGATAGATATTGACCGATTGAGATAGATATAAAGTGACTGGGTTAGAGAGATATTGTCAGAGTGATACAGATATGAAGAGATTGTGTTAGATAGATAGATAGATAGATAGATAGATAGATGCAGACTGAGATTCACTTTCGAAAATATATACTGATTTACAATCAATTGATGTTTAGTTTTGCCTACCAATATAATAATAATAATAATAATAATAATAATAATAATAATAATAATAATAATTTATACTGTAATGGGTGCTCCTGGAAGACCATTTGGAAACGAGAAAAGATCTTTTAGAAAACACTGAAATAGAGACCAACATCTCAGACCTCAAGTAAACTGCCATTATTTATTCTGCAAGAATTCTGTGAAAAGCCCTTTTTCCGTTGTTGTGATGATACTACCTGAAAGGATCCTTTAAGAAGAAAATTCCAAGAGAATACTTCAATGAAAAACTCCAGCGGCACCACCACCACCAACAACAACAACGACAACAACAACAATAATAATAATAATAATAATAATAATAATAATAATATAAAACTCGACATGATAGAGTGAGCCTATATCTACACTTTGAAATATGCAATTTTTGCAGGAAGGTAACTGGAAGAAATCGACACGAAGAACAGCCAAACACATTAAAAGAGTTAAGACCAGTAACAATTTTTTGGGAATTTAAAACAAACACATGCATAAAAATGAAAGCTAATTGCCCATACACCTTGATCAAAGACTACAAAAATAGACCATGATTTCTTATTGACATGGCAGTCCCTGCAGATTTTATGTATCATAATACAATGATCTTAAAATGGATATCTTCGAAATGTGGTGCATGAAGACATCAAATATCCTAGTTGTGGTCGAAGGCCTCAACTTGATTGGAAAATATTTTGATAGACTAACTGATGGGTAGCCCAATCCTTAATGTAATACAATAAATTGTATTTACAAGTACAACTCACACATTACGAAGGGCTGTATCTATGTAATTTGTGTGTGATCTTTGTTTGTTTTGTTTTGTTTTTGTTTTTTTTTACAATATGTTTCAGTGAAAATGTCATGATGTTATTGCTGGCCCGCAAGAAAATGAGTAGACGACGCAAATCAATGTCAATAATAATAATAATAATAATAATGATAATAATATTAATGGCAACAATAAAGACAACAGCAACATCAACAGTTAGAACAATAATAATAATAACACCACAACCTCCACCACCAAAAACAACCACAATAATAATCATAATACTAGTAGTAGTAGTCGTATAGCTGGCCACTTGTATTCGAGGGCACCTGTCTAATATGGCGGCTAGTCAATCCCTATTGCAGACAATTGCTCAGGCGCATTTGTGTTTATTCAACACCAATAGAGCCAGCCAGTGGTTTATACTGCAACTGTGCTGGGAATGAGTATTATCTAGCGTGATCAACAATTCGGACACGATGTTTTGTGACTTAGTGCTAGCACTGCTATCGACGACAGCCAATGGTCCCGTCTACCCAATTTCACTCTCAGGGCTTGGGTCAACCCGTGTTATAGTTTTCAGGCTCTTTCCAAATGTGCCGCAAGCTGGGATCGACCTCGAGCCAGTCCGATAACATTAGGAAGTCTCCTTCCTGACAAATCGACCATGATGAGATTCGAATGTTCAGAAAGCGAACGTTGTAGCTACTCGGCCAAGTGCCCATTAATCATACTACTACTACTACTACTACTACTAATAATAATAATAATAATAATAATAATAATAATGATAAATGTGCTGTTGATAGACCAGGTATGGCTCTTATGATTGGAGGTGTTCATATCTACATGTTTCGACATTAATTAATATTTGCTACAATAAATAACACTTTCAGTTGGACCAATTTGCCTGTCAGCAGCTTGACTATAACCAGTTGGACATCTTGAACAGAATGAGAAAAACTCGCTCAATTAAATCCGCTTAATAACTTCTATAACCTTCTCAGAACTACCTTTCGTTACGTTACGTCCCAAAAAAAAAGAAATGTTCAGGATTATATCAAACAGTTAATCAGGAAAACAACAGCAACAACAACTACATTAATAATAATAATAATAATAATAATAATAATAATTTCATAAATGTTAATGATATATCCATTACTTTCTTTTGTCCTTCGACACCATGGTTATTTCGCGTGATCCGTCTTATATGGACAATATCTTATTCAATTCTATTCCTCTCACCTAATAGAAAATGACATTTCCTATTAACGCGTCCCTTTCTTTACAATACACACATTGACTCTGACTGTGTCAGACCCTGCATCAAGAGACTTTTCTCAATTTGGAAGTTTTCTTTAGGTTTCCCCAGCGTCGGCATCTATAAGAAATCATGTCATTTTGTTAATATCTGAGCCGGTTGCGTTATTCGGACTTTTTCTTCCCGCCACGATGTGCCTCTTTCCATTGTTCCGAATTGTGCTGACACCACGAACACAAAAATAACATATCTCTATTTATTACACTCTGTTTTCGTATTTATAATTCCTTTTTTTATGTGTTCAGCTCCATTTAATCTTCTGCTATTCGATATCAATTATACAAGAAATCCCTTGTAAAATCAGAAAAAGTCACTGCATTTTGAAGATATTCGCCAATATATTATTTTAATTAGCTGATAATGAAAATAATGTTCTTCCATAATGCAGCGTGGGTGATCATAGCTCTTTACAGCTTCCTATCATTTTAATATGTGAATGCAAGATCCAACCACCTTGTATGTATAATAAAGCAGATCCGCAAAGGAATAAAATCTAGGTTATAAAACAATTTCTCGACTTTTGAAGATATAAAGAGAAAATATGACGAATTAAAAAAATATCATGGCTCTAAAACCAAACCGGAACTTAAACCTTAAAAAGACAACAATAAAGAACAATTCGAGGAAAAAAAATATATAATCTGGTTTAAACCCACTTTTAACTAAGAAGTCAAGCGTAAAATTGAGAAAATATCTTTTTTAAATTACTTAATAAACTCTTCCCGAAAACTTTTGAATTACATAAAATATTTAATAAAAACAGAGTTACATTAAGCTACTGCTGTACTAATAATTTAGAAATCAAAATAAAACTACAAAACATTACAAATGTCAAAACTAACGTGCATCAAACATCGTTAACATTGAAATATGCAATCGTAGAAATGGAGTTTGGAGTTTGCAAAACTGTAACAGTGATTTACAAAGCAGAAGTAATAGATACAGATAGCCAGAAAAAAATATATATAGGATATACTTAGGGTATCTTTAAGAAGAGGTGATACAATCACAAGTCATCTTTTAAGCGAGAATGTCTTAAGAATTCTGCTAGATTAGCCAACCATGTGGGGAAATTATGGGAAAAATAGATCCGTTTGAAAACTGGAATATTAAAAAAGCAAAGCCATACTAACATACAAAAGTCATACTAATATCTGTCAACTTTATCAACAAAAAAACTGGTAATAATAACATTTCAAAACCCCCCAAAATTTGAATCATACATTGGAAATTATGACTTGTTGTATACATAATAAAAAACTTCCTTTTGAGTTCATATGAAGTGGGTTGAAAAGAAAGTATGTATATTTCATTTAATCAACCACCAATACATTTTCAATACATTTGCTTTTCCCCTCCTCCATCAAACCTCGTCGTGCGCTTATTTATTTATTTTATTTTTAAAAAATATAGCGTTCATTATTTTTTTTATTTAAAAAACAAATTAATGCATTAGGAAATCAGTTGACCAAAATCAACTGAAGATACCGAATGGCTGAAAACAAGATGGCAGATTCTGCTGATCTCCTAATTTTTTCATAATTGAATGCTCCACATTTGAATTTTTTATCTTCTTATGTGCATTGAACACATTTTAATACTAATGTTTGCGGGTGTAATTCAATTCTGATCATTAACATCGCTAGTAGTGTGTAATGCATGCATTAAAATACTGTTAATTCATAGAGTGACGTGATCGTCATCTATAAAACTGTTGTTTCCAGATTATATTTTTTTTGAAATGCAAGTACTTTCGAATAATCCTTTATTCATCCTCAGGCATATGTTTTCCTTATAAAATCAAAAACTTAAAGACGAAATAATTGTTTGTCGGCCGAAAGATGTTTTTTTTTTAGTATGTGCTATTATTGACGGTTGTGTACAATATCGGAAAGTGCAAAGACGCAACGCTAAATTTTTCAAAATTTTAAGAGAGAATTTTGAACTTTTCTTGTGATGTGGTAAATCAACGTATTCTATTTTACAAGGGTTTTCAGTTAATATGTCATGAACTAAGTATATAGTTCAATTAATATAGTGTTATGTCTTAGTAGTAGTTTTTTTATAGGAATTTTTTTGTACTGCGGACCGATAGTTTTTTATAAACATAAAACATTAGGCAGCATTTAATTTATATACAAAGAAATAATCACACATAGTATCAATAAGTAATATTAATGGTATTATTGGCGACATCCATCGCTAGTAGTGTATAATGTTAATATTAGTGGTAAATATACACATACATATGCAAAATATATATAAAAATTCTAAGGATAGAATACATGTAGAACTCAATGTCCAGGACAGAGTAAGGATATAATAAAAAGGCTTAAACACTAATATTCCATGGTCATAATTTATTTCATTGGAATCGTAAATACAGAAAACAGAAAAAACAACTCGGGAAATAAAAATAGAATTTAGAGAGAGTCTAAGTATGAGAGTGTGGGACGAATGTTAGAGCCAAAGAGAGGGGTAACAGACGAGAGAAGGTGGGAGATTAAAACTTAACAGAGAGAAGTTTAGGAGAGGTGAGTGGAAGGGGGAAACATGAATTTCGTCGAATGTCTAATGCATTAAAGATACATTTCGTGGTGACATACACACACCATAGACGATCTAATGTTATATATATATATACTGGAAAACGAAGTATAAACAGAGCGTTTCATATTTAGATATATATATATTTTTTTACATATCATCTAATATAATTATCTTCCTAGCGATTCTCGCACAAACACAACACACTATATATATATATATATATATATATATATATATATATATATATATAGATAGATAGATAGATAGATAGATAGATAGATGTATATGTTTGCACATAACTTATATAATACTCTTTCTCCGGGATTTTCATGTAAACCTTACTCTCTCTCTCTCTCTCTCACACACACACACACACACACACACACACACACACACACACATATATATATATATATAGAGAGTGAGAGAGAGAGAACGAGATAAAGGATGAAACATTTTGCATATTGTCCTATATACTTATCTTCCTGGTAGATTCGCATATAAAACCTACATATATATATATATATATATATATATATATATGTGTGTGTGTGTGTGTGTACGTGTACGTGCCTCTGTGTGTGTGCATGCGTGTGTTTGGTGATAGATAGATAGATAGATAGATAGATAGATAGATAGATAGATAGATCCAGGTAAGGCCGACTGCTTCACGTACATTTTGGCAGGTGATATGCAGTAAATGTTTACTGTATATAGTGTGTACGTTAAAACGACAAGTATGTTATTGTAAATAATGGGAAGTATTTGTCTTTCCCAACAGTTGAGAATTTAAGGCCGCTTTGTCCATATTTGGCCATGTTCTAGCCAGATCCAATGAGATGGAGTCTAAGCCTATCGCATTTGGTCCCGTTGCCGCAAGGCATGATGGATGGGCAGCCTGACTAACCCGGACAGAAAGCACTTCTCGATTGAATTATAGACGCGTGGGGGACTCACCTTTTTCACTGCGCGTTTGAGAGACAGACAGAAAGCCGGGAAAGGATGTGGGCGATGTAGTGTATGGAGTGAAGGCTTAGACTGCGTCAACAGAGAAGATGTCCGTGTAAAACGACTTGCTCAACCATTTAGAGAATAGGTTTCATCTTCTAATTTCTTTCCTATGAAGCTTTGTTCAAACATTAGTAACAACCACATGGTAAAAATCAAAATCCGACTCTTGCTAGGTTTTTTATAAAAATAAAATTAATGTGTGAGGTGCCACATCCTAAACTCGGGTCACTCTACTTCATACAGCGATTTTGTATTATCCTCCTAATAATTTTGTATTCGCCCTCCTAATAATTTTGTATTTATCCTCCTAATAATTTTTTCTTTTATCCTCCTAGAAATTTTTTAATAATCTTCCTAAAAACTTTGTAATTATCCTCTTAATAATTTTGTAATTATCCTCCTGATATCTTTGCATTTATCCACTTAATAATTTTGTATTTATCCTCTTGATAATTTTGTATTTATCCTCCTAATACTTTTGTATTATCCTCCTAATAATTTTCTTTTATCCTCCGAATAATTTGCTTTTATCCTCCTAATATATTTTTCATATATCTTAAGTACAATTATCAACTATAATTTCGGAAAATAAGGTCAGTAATTACCAATCTCCTCATACTGTCCTCTATATTTCGATGAGTCATATCGGGTCGAAAATAGTGTACTGTTGGCATATTGGAGAGGGGCACGGTCCGGTAATGGATAGCGGCTCGGATTGCGGAATTGGAGAGCCGAATTCGAATTCCAGTCGAATCCATTCACTTACGTGCTAATATCCTTAGGAAAGGTATGAATCCCCTTTTCCTTTCCCTTTCAGTTATCGGTAAATAGCAGGACAGACTGGGTTCTATAGCCTTGAATAACTGGTCTCCCGCAGAAAGAAATGGCAAAATACTCCGGAAAAAATATGTCTCATCAGTTAGGTATCGAAAGATACATGATGCCTATGCGTGTATCACGCATGGCACATAACTGACTGACTGTTGGCATATTTGGGTGGGAGCTGCCTAGTCATTGCTTTCTAGTCATCGAGTCCGTGTTAAAATAATTATTTTCTACACTCCAAACTGTTTCTCACAGGCTAGATGTGAGGAGTCCCTCACTGATCTCTCGCTGCTACCATAGAAAGTTCTCGCTTAAACTACATTTCTTGGTTCCGCTAGGTCCACCTTCACGGCTTAGAACCGCCATGCAACTTACATTGTAGCAAACTACCCACATTATTTCCGTATGACATCGGCGAAAATTAAGTTCCACTAAAACAGCTTCTTCCCGCGAACCACGACACTACAATCTTAACCGGTTCAAGTCTAGAGATAAACGTTATCTTCCTCTCCTGTCTATATAAACTAACCCTTAACGTAATACTCTACCTAGACTATCCCCTGAGCTTAGTACCCCGTGAAGATACGCTTCCAGACGCCGATCTGCCATGACCAGACGAGCAGACAAAACAATTCGCGGTAATGGTCGATCAGCCGGAAGTCGCATAAAACTTAAGTCGAAGCTGACCTGTATATCTGTAAAAAAAAAAAACTCGCGATTCAAGCAATTCACAATCTTTCAACAAAATAGACAAGAATTTGTATAATAGAAAAGTATCAGTTTGAAATATCTCATCCGCACGCCATTTTAAATTTAAGCCTCCATAACTCTTCATATCATTAGTTATAAACTAAAATTTTGAATGTAAATACAAGGTTTGAATGAAACTGGTGCGATAAAAAATAAAAGTACAATACATCAAGTCGGCATTTAATCGCCTTCAGATTATTCAAATCTGATTCCACACACTAATCCAGCGTCATTTCCATTGATGCAATAAATAATGGAACTGCTTTTATGGGATTGCAAGCAATTCTCATGTCACATTATCTTAGATTTCCTCGACGTCTTGAAATCTTTTCCTTTCAAGTAGGATTTGATTTTATGGAAAAATGGAAAAGTCGCAAGTAGCTTAATTTGTGGAATATGTAGGTTATCGCAAGTGGGGGAATGTTGTCTTCGCTCCAAACTGCTTCACAAACCTGGCTCACTGTGTTGTGGTGAGATGACCACACTCTACACACTTTCAGTCCAATCACTGCTTTAAACAACACAAGTGAACGAAAAGGTTATGATTTAATCTGTCAGCGCGACAGAGTTCATTAACCCTTGCATTAGCCTCAAGACAATTATTCATGTGTGTTATGCATCTGAGAGTTGTGTATGCTATAACCACTGGCCTTGGGCAAGCAGTGATAATTAAAATTTATGCTGTTTATTTTAAAATGAAAACTATGAGGAACATGAAGATTAATTGAAATTATTTAATCCCCGTCTTTATTAAACGTTGAGTATCTTTTCGAATTTCTCAAAAAAAAACTTGTCTGAGAAGAAATATGAGAACTTGTTATGTTCGTATGTTTGAAAAATCTTTGGTTCATTTCAATTTTCATCACATTGTTTTATTTTTTGGCGGGAAATTAGATGTATTTACTATATATGCAATATCATTTTTTATATCTCGATTTTAATCTAGAACTGTAAACAATTGGGAAAATAATTTCCGCGTGAATCTGAATCATATAAATGAATTCAGAATTAATATTTTGTGAACAGAAATTCGTATGAATTAACAATGAAAAATCGGAAAGATTTATTAGAAATTTCCATGTAAACAATCAAGAAATTTGCTGCATTTTCAAAAGTGTGCATTAATAATCGAAAAATATATGTAAACATTTTAATGCTCCCATCGAATTTATTCAGTTAGTCGACGTCAGCGTTTCAGACTGAAATCTGTCTGAATGTTTCATAGGATACACAAGCCTCTTTGAAAGCTTTAATTACTAGCTCCCCAACGAGAAACTATCAATAATTAGAAATAATTCTTATTTCGGTAGTTTAAATGTGTCTTTCTAATTTGCGCTAAAGATTTAGATTACACGTCGTTGTTGACATGCAACCATGACTGCTTACGCCAGCCAACCGTAAATCGATCTGCTTGTAAGTTCGAGGGGCGTAATTAATTTTACAATCATTTTATCATTCTTTTGGCATTATTCGATTTTAACTTCAGATCACGTGCGATCACATTCACTTCCCTTCCTTCTTCGTACGCTTTAATCACCATCATTTTTGTGCAGAGATCAATAGACAGTCTTTGCTTCTTGGCAGGTTGAACAGTAGACAAAGACAATTTCCTTTTGGTAGACATCTTGGGAGCCTTCCGAAGAAGGGTTTCAAAGTCACAAACGGACTCGGGGGAGAACGCGTTTTGGCCACACACACACACACACACACACACACACAGCCCTAACACTGAATTTGTGATGCGTGAGTGAACGCTGGGACTACCGGGAGCTGAGGCAAAAGTTGTAGACCAAACTGGGCAACACACATGCTGTCAGACGCCGAGTAGCCATGACCAGACGGGCAGACAAAAACAATTCGCGGCAGTCATGGGGTAATGGATCGGCCGTATGTTGCATAGAACTTAACTCGAAGCTGACCTGTATATCTATATGATAAGCAATCCAAAGGCAATTATAAATATGAAAACAAAAAGTTTTTGATCATTTACATACAATCAACTTTCATATTTATTTTCATATCCACCCCTATATATATATATATATATATATATATATATATATATATATATATAGAGAGAGAGAGAGAGAGAGAGATTGCAAATTAAAAAATAATAATGTTTTTTTGTGAAAGCAATTATTTATTTATATATATATATATATATATATATATATATATATATATTTGATATTTCAGATTAACCTCAAACTTTCTTCAGAAATAGCTGTTTTCAAGTAGCGCCCGTCGCAAGATGCGGACGTCACGTGATATGGAACGGCACTGTGTTCGAATATTCTTAACGTAAATCTAATTGTAACAATATTTTAGATGTTGTTTAAAAAATAAAAATTAAAAAAATTAAAAAAAAATTAACTATATCTAAAAAAAATGTTAAACTATTGAAATATTTATAAAGATTTAAAATACCCAAGTCTTTATTTAACCCTAGTTTATATATATTTAATTTTAAAATCCAGTATTTTTCTTTTTTCTGCGTGTGTATGTGGAACTGAAAGCAGAATCTATCAATAAACATTTACAGTTTTCTAATGAGTGTCCTGATTGATTAAAGTGTTCAGGAATAAGGATTGTTTTGACGTATGGTTTGTTTATGATTGTTGAAGCGAAATCTAAACTTATTTCCAGATTCACCAATATATCCACTATTAGGATATATGGTGCAGAATAAATAGTAGATTATTTATGGCTATCACAGGTGGGGTGAGGTGGGTGTATCTTGATATTGGTGTTGGGTACAGAAAATACATTATCTATTATTAAGTGTTTGCAAACTAAGCAACGAGGTAGTTACATTTGTAATTTCCTGATTGGTTTGTATTGTTTAGATATTTGGTAGAGGTGAGGATAGCTGATAGGTTAGGTGATTGTTTCTTTGCATTTATGGGTGGTTTATCGAAAATGTCTTTGATCGTTTTGTCTCATTATGCTATATATATATATATATATATATATATATATATATATATATATATTTTTTTTTGAATATATATATATATATATATATATATATATTCATAGCCATATATATATATATATATATATATATATATATATATATATATATATATATA